CTATGGAGGAATGTTTCCAAAAATCCTGTCCAGTCCAGTCACTTTTATTCTCAAACCACTTCAACTGTGTCCTATTGCGTTGGGGATGAACCACAAAGTCCTGGCACGGTCCACAGAGATTTCTGCAACTTGGCGTCTGCTCACTTCATCTTTCGCTCTTTGTTCAAGCTGAGCCTGGCTCACTTTTCCCACAGGGCTCCTTCCTAAACTTCCTCCTTTACCTCAAACGCCACTTCCTGTCATCTTGTGCTCGTCTCCCCTTCTTTATCTCGTTATCATTTTATCTGACGAATTCCAACCAACTCTCCCAGTCACGGCTTGTCATGGCCGAGATAGCAGAAATCTGAATTGAGAGCACAGTGCCAATAGCAGCATTCAAGTGAAACATGGGAAAAGTCCAAGCATTTTATGACATGCGGTGGGACCTTTGATGGTCAAAGCAATGCCTTGTGACATTATTTGTGCAGAAGGGGCCGTTTCCATCATGGAGTATCACCTGACATTTCCCATTAATTAGACAGTCATGTGTGTCATTTTTAGTGAAATACATCCTGTTGATTGAAAATTTCAGGTTTTTTTTAAATAAAAATAAACAATCTGGAGAGCTCATACAACACACCACAGTTAAGAATCTTCCCATAGAAAATGCCAAAGGGTAACTCATTATTGTATTTGTGTACAAAGACTGACAGTGGCATCTGTCCCTAGAGATTTCCTCATGAGACTTTCTTTCTCTTCTAGTAGGTCATCTGCAGATCTACTGCGAATCCCTTCCTTTTCTACTTTCTCCTGTAACAAAGCTGACTTCTTAACCCAGGCAGGCATCCCTTCCACATTTCCACGCTTTCCTGCTGCCTATGTTATCAATGCCACGAATCCCATTAAAATGATGTTTGCAGACATTTTATTTGCGCTTGTGCACCTAGGCTAGCGCCTGGTTTGTGATATTTTCATGAGCAACAGCGTTTGTGAACTGCTCAGTTCTATCTGTTCCCTTAAACCACTGCCATTTGTTTGCTCCGTCTGTGCCGACATGTTGCTTTGAGTTTGCTGAATAAAGCTGAGATAGAGCTAACACTGATTGATGATTTTTAGCATTGCACAAAGAAAGAGATTCATGGGTTTCTTGTACAAATCTTATCATAATAATTAGATTTCATACTCTCATCACACATAAGGCATAATATATTTCTTTGCCCTTTCCAGAGACGTTTCATTATATTCTCAGGAACATTTATACTGACTTATTTTTCCTGTTTCATTATTCCCTGCTTTCTGTCAGTTACTCCCGTGTTCTTATTTTGAACCTTAGTTCCCATCCATATCTGCTTGTTGTGTATAGTTATCACATTAAAATATAATTTTGTTCATTAGTTTTTTAAATTCACAGAGAGAATTTTAAAGAGATTGAAATGCTAAGCTTCTTGTTACAGTAATAATTAGAAGTTTAGTGGCAGCTTTGTCCTCCATGGCTGAGCTCCAGTTACTCAGGAGGTTGGCTGATGAGGTTATAATTAAAGACTGCTAACCCTGATAGGATTATAGGCCCTGCAAGTTTCAAAAGTTTTCCAAAACAGCTCAAATGACAAGATATGTATTCACTCGCTGATGTTTCAAATGGTACCTCACTGAAATATGATCCTTGGAGTCAATGGCAACTATGCTAATGTGAAAACTCACATTTTTCCCAAAGTAAATTACTGTTTCTCAAGAGAATATGGTACTTCCTACTACCACATGGCTTATTCTGATTGGTATTTGCCCATACTTTCTCGAGCAACAGATGAATAGTGTCAATCTTTCTCTGCTGCGTGTTTTGTGTCCTAATTGCTCCTAAATCTCTGTTCAGTCATATTTATAATCTTGTATTTGCCAAATATGAATACATCATTTATGCAATCAGTCCACCTCTGGCCTCATCCCATTGTCTAGTTTTATTAGCAGCAACTAAAGGAGTACTATTTAGTATCAATGTAATTTTAATTGTAAATACAATACAGACACTGAAACTATATGGAAATGAGGCCCTGGGTTCTATACTAAGAATTAGCAAAAAAAAAAAAAAATTCTTCAGCCGTACCACCAACTGATTGAGCCAAAAACTTCAGAAACAAAGCTCGGCTTTAGTTTTAGTTTACTACATTATTTCGTATACTGCCTCAGACTATGGAGAACGTTGCTTTTTAAGTTGTCTGGGATTTGCATACGACTTAGTGTCTCTTCCATAAAGAGTTAAAAAATTTTTAAATTATCAACCATATGACAGAGAAAATTTCCTATAAACTAGTTTTTAAAGAGGGGATGAGGAAGCTTGCTATCGGGCTACTCAAAGACTGGAGTGCAGAACCCATGAGTGGTCCCTGTCTCTATAACTTACCCAAGATGATCAATTGGTCCAGGAGAATGTGGATGCAAAAGTACAGATTGCGTGTCCTCAAGAAGCAATATGGAAGTGGGGTCAGGGGTTTGTTCACGAACAAAGCAAGCCTGGATGCTGAGCCAGTGGGAGACAATAAGTTGCTGTTTTTCTGTTGCCATGGAGACTTATTTGGACTAGATAAGACCTGTGATTGTGAGAGGGCAAATTGCCAGTACTCTTAAAATTTTCAGTGACCTGATAATTATGGTTTAGAGTATTACGCTGAGGACTATTGTCTGACACTGTATTAAAGAATATACCAGAATCTAAAGACTGCTGCCGTCTAGCTCTTACCTAATCATTCAGGGGTCAGAACAAGTTTAGCTTCTCAAGAGAGCTTTACCTGACTCTATAAGGATGCAGGGAAGATGTCTCTGTTGTGCTCCCGAGCATCCTGGGCTTGTCCTGTCATACATTTTCATCATCTTCTATAACATGAAGACCCTGATTGCTTATCTCTTCTCTAGTATATCAGACATTTATGAGGCATTGCTTTGACGAAGTCCAAATCTCCCTACCAGGTTTTCTAGTAAGGTCCACAGAACCTTTCATGTAGATGACTAACACTTACTATGGCTTCATGGAAACTCACATAATGGGTCAGAGATGACTAACACTTACTATGGCTACATGGTAAATCACATACATGGGTCACAAGGGAAAAAAAGAAGACTCTGTAAAGCTCCGTGTTCTTCCTGTATGATCTTCCATCCCACAAAGAGGCACACCAAATGTTCTCCACCAATACAAATGGTGCATGGCCATACAACATTTCTGCCTACACGAGCCCATTGCAGAATATGCCCACAACTATTGATGGCAGTTGGTCAAATTGCATCCTCTGCAGAGAAAGCAAATGAATTCTATACCCTCCGATGTAAATCAAATACACAGCATGAACTCTGTAGCTGTATAAAGTGGCCACACTATAGTTCACCAGTTAAATATTTACTGAGAATGCCAAAGGAGCCAAATTCATATTTATCAGGCAAGGCCGACTTTGGAAGCAGACCTGTCCTTCTAAGGATTACAGTGTTGGGACAAGGACCACATCTCCCACAATCCTCACTTTTTCTCCAGAAACTCAAGATACTGACAATCTTCAGGAAGTAATTGGTAAATGAATTTACTAAGGCAAATCTGATGAAACAATAGAGGACGCTCTCTCTCTCTCTCTCTCTCTCTCTCTCTCTCTCTCTCTCTCTCTCTCTCTCTCTCTCTCTCTCTCTCTGTGTGTGTGTGTGCTGTCTTAGTGCCAGCAGCAAATAATATATTACATCTAGTATAGTATAGACACTTGGAAACAGAAGACTAAGCAACAATAATGGAAGCTATTCTGAGACACACACACACACACACACACACACACACAGGCATTCACGCACACACGCATTCATAAATTATTTCTAGTATATGTATGATATTAGAGCAAAATAAAATTAGAAGCTACGCAAAGAAACATCCAGACGTATGAAGGAAGAGATGAAATGAAGTACACGCACATTTTTTTTTAACTGAGCTCTGTCCTCATTCATGCTTTCCTGTTTGTAGGCAGACTGGAGCTCCTTTTGGAGAGCTATGAAGCAATGGCTACTGCCTCAAGAAGCTGCGCTATAGGGCAGCATAAGCGGAGGATTTAGGATCTGTGAATCCTAGAACCAGTTCATTCAGGGCCACCAGTTCCTCGGGGATTCAAATATAGTGCTGACTTTAGAAAAGCCTTTGTTTCCTTGTCTGAAAAATAGAGAGTAAGTTGCAAATTTTTCTCCACAAAGGCACTTTGAGGATTCCATGATGCTTCTACATAATGTAATACACGAGGTCATGAGGAAGAATCACCCAAGCTTCAGGAGTGGGCTTATACAACATTGGGTGGGGAGAATTGACACATTTTGCCACTTTGCAACTCATCTAGAACTAGGCTGCACACGTTGCTATGCCCACCAACATGATCCCATGAGTTCTGGCTTTGGGTTCAGATGTCAGGAAATAATTTCTCCTTATTCAGTAAGATGAGGTTTAAAAAGGGTATTTACATCAGATGATTCCTGGGCGAATTAAATGATATGATGCATGCTGAATGACTAGCCAAATCCCGGCACATATGTGTTCAACACGTGGGAACTACTATGAAGTTTTGGTTCCTGTAGAGGAACTTTTTCTTTTTGTTTGATAGAGTAGAAAGATGACCTTTTGATGACCTAACACAGCTCTATCAGAGGAAAAACAAGGCATTCATTAAAAGGTCACGTTTAGTTGTTCTTTAGAGTGTAGATGTATAGAAGGGATTTAGTTAAAAGAGGAAGAAGTCTTGACACAACGCAGACCATGGCATAAATGCAAGTTGTAGATAATTTAAATAATTTACACTCCTGACCAAGACGTCAAATTATTGGAGATGTTTTTTTCCAAAATAGCATCTGACTTGTCTTCTCAGACCCTCCTCTTTAAAAGAAGGCACAGCTAATTGGGAGAGAAAGTGTCCTGGACTTCTGAGTCTATCAAAACATGCTGTCTGTCACTGCTCTCTCCATCACCACCGAGTAAACAGAATGTCTGCACCATCAATTAGGGTACTCACATTTGCTTCCTCATCACTACTGTCCTGCTTGTTCTGATGTCCTTCATTTCTCCTGATAAAATAACAATGCCGACATGGTTCGTTCAGAGCCTCAAACGCTGTCACATTTCTTTTAATCCTAGGAGTTAAGATAAAATATAGACATTGGTTTAGTGCTGTACATTGTGGCCTGCTTGTCCTTCAGTTTTGAAGTTTCAAATTTTAATTTTTCTGTTTCTCTACACAGAGAACTGACTGGCATTTTTGCTAATGCCACGGGGAAAGAAATTAGGAATGACTTTTTGTCGAGAATTACAAAGAACTGTGTAAACACCAATTTAATTAGAATTTGACAAGACAACCCGAAGCAGAAATTATCTGCCTGACACTTGGTTGACACTTATACTTGGCAGGATACCTCTCAGACGGGCAACATTTGGGCATGACTTAGGGAGTTTAAATATATCACCCGAGGCTCCAGCCCCACTCATAGCCCATCAAACCTCAATCTCTGAAGATGGGCTCTGAGACTTTAATATTTAAAACAGCTATCTCCCCACTTGACTCTGAAAAATATGGCGATCCCAATATAAATGAGAGGGAATCCATGTAAGGCCCTCGAGACTACAGGCTATAAGGGTTTAAGAAAACACAAACACAGCAAAAAACAAAGCTCAAGGCAGCTAACCAAACCAAAACATAAACGAAATAAGACAATATGATATTCTAGTTAAAACTGTACAAAAAGAAAGACAGAAAAAAAGAAAAGAAAGACTACATGTGGTTTATCAGAGAAAGCTGTACGAACTCATACTCCCAGAGTAAGACTCAGGGCTTCATGATCTTCTCAAATTCCACAAGCACAATGCATCCTCGGAGGTCTCTTTCTCTTTGGTTTTCTCCACAGTTTCAGCAGACGGGTGCTACACACCCCAATTACACCACGACTCCAGAAAAGCAGTGCTCTCCATCTTCTTTTCTTTCCCGGGGGACCATGGGAGATTTTCTTCAGTGCAACACACTTCACCCACCTATACCCCTACTCTCTAACGCATTTCAATTCCCAAGGGACCGCCACTATGAAAATGTGTATGCAGATCTCTGGCTGTAACAGATGACTGTATAGAATTCCCACCCATAGAGAACTGTCTACAGAAAGCAGAAGGAATTCCAAAAGATTCCTGTCCTATTCCTGAAATCTCAACCGCCCCCCTCCAATCCATCCTCTGCAGCACCCATCTTGGTTCCCACAAGACTTAAACACAGCAGGCCTCTGAACTAAGGCAACTCTTGTATTTAGAAAATGGCACTCCAAATGAAGAGAGAGGAAGAAGAAAGGACGTCTGTAAGAAAGGACCCAGTCATTTCGTTGACGTCTAAGTGTTCCACCCACTTTAACTCCCTGGATTAGCCTTGCTGGCTATCTCCTCTGCACTCAGGAGCCAGGACACTTAATATGGGAGTAACAGCACAGCAGGTCACTTTTCTTCTTAGAAATCTCTAATGGTGTGCTGGTTAGGTTTTTTGGCTTGTGTTTTTTGTTTTGTTTTCATCTTGACAGAAACTAGAGTCATCTAGAAGTAGGGAACCCCAATCGGGGAGCTATGTCCAACAAGTTGGCCAGTTGGCAAGTTTTGTAGGGAGATTTTCTTCATTAATGATTGACGGAAGGCCCAGCTCACTGTACCTTGTGCCGACCCCCAGGGAGATAGTCCTGGATTGTGTAAGAACACAAACTCAGCAGGCCATGGAGCAATACCATATAGACCATGCTGTTTGGCTCAATTTTGAACATCTGTCACACAGAATAAATACTGCTTCTTGTACTAAACTTTGCTTAAATTTAATGAGCAGGGCACATAGCACTCTACAGACCATGGTGTGCAGCTCAACTCTGAATGTTTGCCATGTAGAATAAACACAATATCTCAAACAATTAGATTATTATTTTTATGAGAACATATTTTCCTAGGACAAAATCCTTTGCATGACATGTTGGAAACACTTAGGAAATGTAAGATGCATGCCACATACATCATCACAGCGGTACTTTCAAATGCAGTCTTGCTCACTTTGGGCAAAGAGCCAAGATGGTGGCACTGGGAAGAGTTTAGACAAGGAGGAGAAAATTATTTGTCAATATAGACAACTCCTGACTAACTGCTAGAAATTATGCAATACTCATCAGTTTTACCCAACTTCCCATTGTGTGTATCTTAGTTGTTCTTTAGAGGCATATGCTGATAGTGTGAGTAGGAATATGATAATTACAGGACAACACACACAGTACATGTCAATACTAACAATTCTGCAATTGAATGAAAGCATGTAGCAGTAATAACAGCCTGAACCTAAGCATTTAGACAAATTTGTTTACAGGTTGCCTGATGTATAAACCTGGCTAAATGTATAAATTTGGCTAAATTAAATCTCTGAATTGCTCATTTATTTACTTCTAACTCAGGAATAATTTACACCTAAGTTTCTAGAATGGTTTATATCAAGTGAGTCAAATTCTGCATGTAGCATTTGACACACAGAAAATACAGAACTATAACCATAGTGTCTGATATTGTTATCCTGACTATTTAAATATATTCCAATCATCTTACATGTAATTGGATTGTTGTTGAGAATAGTTGACCCTAAGTTCCAAGACATCCCTTGACTTGCCTCAATACCAAATTGTAAAATGTTTAAGATTTTAAGAAGGCCACTATGAATAAATGGCTTCCAAAATTTGTAGCCAGAAGAACATCTGGTAAGAAAATAGCAAAGGCTATGCACTTTGGCAAGGATGATAATAAAAGAGCACTGTTTCAACCCTGGGAACTTAATGCTGTGAGCTTTGTTGTTTTTATGCAGTCTATATTGTGAGACAATCCAACATACATTTTATGAACTCTATACTATAAGATAAATACTTAGAATTGACCAGCATTGTACACAATAATGATGGGTCATTCCAGATTTTTTTAAAAAAAACACCATTTTTTTCACATAAAGGAGATTGTTCAGGGTAAAACACTTGCCCTCCAAGTGTGAGGATCCGACTTTGGGTTCTCAGAACACACACAACTTGGGTACAATACCACATGTCTGTAACCCCAGTTCTTCTGTGGCGTACTAGAATAGGAAGACACAACAATCTCCAGAGTCTTGACGATCAGCTGGCAGCAACTCAGATACCCTGCCTCAAACAAGGTGGACAATGACAGATACCCAAGGATGTCCTCTAACCTCCTCATGCACATTGTGGTGTGTGTACTTACACTCACACACATGAATGCATGCAGACTACATACATTATGTATATTATATTATACATACACACAGACACACGTACAAATACACAAACACGAATTACGCATATATGCAAACACATTCAACTGCATTCAGTAAGTATGCACCATACTATTTTCCATGAAAAGCCATACCTCAACAGGACTGTGCCAAAAGGAATTCTTACCAAATTGAAATCTTTACTTTTGATTTTCTGAAGTTCAGCAAGAGACCAAGGGAGCTGTCATCCCAAAGGCTTTCTCTAAGTTTCGCGTAATGAATCATTTAGAAGGAACATCTGTTGAGTCTAGAAGTGAACCATTGGGAGCTGAAAACATTCTTTGGCAAACAGAAGAGCTGAACCCGTGTCACAGACAGCTTCACAAATAAATTCCAAGGTTAAAACAAGAAGCAGAATTAGAATCAGCTCTTGTGACTACCGTCATGTTACACGGCACTGTGTCAACCGTTCTGTTTTTGTTCAATAGTGAAATCTCATCTCTAAAACTCTCCTCGGAGAATCATTCAATGGAATTTTAATTACTGCTTTCCCTGATTACAAGGCACTCCAGCTCTGCTGTCTAAACTCAGTGTGTGCGTACACTTCTTTTTCTGAACTTTAGTTACACTGAAAACCCGAAGTACCTCCTCTCATCTGGGATCAATTCTTGGGGAGCAAAATCTTGTGCCAGAAAGATAGTAAACTTGTAATCAGGCTGCTTGGGTCTGCTGCAGACAAGCTGTGGGAATTCAGATAATTCAGATGACTAACTTCTATTTGGCAGCATGGACTTGTCTCATACATCATTTCCTCAAATCATCATATCTGCCTTGTACAACTGCTATACTGAATAAATGAGCATTTGATGTTCTCATTACAGAATAATGTTAAGTGCCGTCCCTTCCATCTTTACAAAATTCTACGCCAAGTATAATGAAACCTTGTGATGACCCTGGAAGACAGGACACACGCAGAAAGCAGCAACAGTGGGAAGAATTTTTGCACTGGTCCTTTGATCTGCTAGGTGGGTAGTGTCAAATTAGTGTATCCAGCATATCTGATGATCACCTTAGAAGATGAACATTCCTTTAGCATTTTATTTAGCATCCAATTGTCTGTTACAATGTTTTAACAGTACTATGATAGGTATCTATTGACTGACTCCTTGTGTGTACAAGCTTTTGTGTGTGTGTGTGTGTGTTCACACATATATATGTGCGGGTACACATAGTGTCAAAGGATGATGTCAAACAACTTTCTCAATTGTCTGACATCTCACTGAAGCTGGTGCTCACTGCTTTAGCTAGGGACTTGGCTGCACAGCAAGTCCCAAGGAGTCATATTCTCCACCTCTCTAGTGCTGAAGTTACAGATGTGTACAGCTGTGTCTGGCTTATAAGTGACTTCTGAGGATCTGAGCTCAGGTCCTCATAATTGCACAGTGAACACTTTACTGAATGAGTGATCTTCATAGCCTCTGTAGACACTTTGCATATCTCACTTAATTTCAGTAGCAGAATTGGCATTCTTTTAGAGAATTAAAATATTTTATTAATTATTTGAGGGTTTCACACAGTGTATTTTTAATCATCTTCACCCTCAACTCTTTTTGCAACTCCTCCCAGATCAACCCATCCTTCCTGACTACCCAATGCTGTGTTCTCTTAATTTTTAAAAATAGTAACCCATCACTTCCAACTTATGCTGTTCATAGACTCCTGGGTATGAGAGCATTCATTGGAATAGAGTTGGCCTACCATGAATCACATCTGCTATGTCATGTCAGAGGAGCAGTAGGTGGCCACTGACTTCAGGGGATCACCCCACCAGCATGCAAGGCACTGATGGGTGAATCT